TCAGTCTTAATTTCTTTGATGAAATAACATTACATGTAATACGGAGCCGGTTTTACTTTATTCTTTATTTAAACTTTTAGTAAAACCCATGTCAGCTGCAGTTTATTGCAGATGCAGTAGACAGAAACATTGTGAAAACAAAATGAAAGGAGATATATACCTACCAGAAGCCAGATTTACGCTCCAAACGACCAATGTGGAAATGCAAAATAATGAAATCATCTTCGCAAACTAGTGAGGCTGAAATTAACGCATTTTAGTACGCTGAAATTTAACTTCAACAGCACAACAACACAATTTCCTAGCATTATTTAATTCATTTGTCATTAAATAACGAGAACCGGCCGGTACCCGAAACATTCTATGGTACACTCTAAAGATTCAAGTATTAGATTCTCAGCAACAAAGCACCGGCGCTGTCAAAGATAATCATGAAGATCAAGCTATGGAAACATATACTTTTTGATGTGTTTTCGCCTATCGTCCACACTTAAACGACAGAAAACGCTGATGAAAACGGTAACTTTCGAAAACAGTTTCAAAAGTGGAGCCTTTTGAAAATACATCGTTTTGAAACGCTCGGTTCTAGCGTGGATAGGTGACAACGGAGGCATTTGAAAACGGTGCCGAAAAAAGCGTCATATATTGCGGCTTCCATCATCATGTTCGGGTGTTTTAATGTAGACGATAGGCGAGAACGTACCGAACTCTCATGGTAGGCGTTTTCGAATGAAAACGCATCATTGTGGACAGGTGAAAAAAAAAAAACGAAAAACGAAATCGCTCGTGTGGGCGAAAATAGTTTGCTTCGTTTTTGTTGATACGAAAACGGATAACTGGATTAGTGTGGTCGGGGCATACAATTTTGTAAAGGGCTCAATGCCTACAAACCCTGTTAGGATACAGAAAATGATTTGCTGAGCTTTCACTATCAAGGCTTTAGCCAATCAGAAAGAAAAACGCCAAACCGTGTCAATATGTTCGTTGTTCGTTACTTGTGCGAAACTATTTCAAGAGACTTTAAAAGCGCGTCATTTTATTTATAGAACTTTACGACTTCCCCTTTTAAGTCCCATCATAACCTCGAGAAGTGGGTGTCACAATATGAAATAACAAAACACAAGGGAGATAGCGGTCATACCCACATAAGATATAATAAAGAAAGATAAGAAGATATTGAAAGGGACTTGAAACTCGGGCTAACTTGAGAACTTTCGGTTAAATATTACATTAAGCGTTAGATCCATGAAGGGGTTTGCGCTTTTCGAGAAGTAACAATACGATGCTTTTTCTTTTATGCTCAGGGAAATAGACCTTCCGCTCCAGGCCAAGTTTCCGACTCCATTATAGGAAAACAGACTCGCTTTCCCTCAGAATTCAACAGATCCTTGGAAGATGGAAAATAAACCATGGCTGAAAACACTTACAAGACATTATAAATAATAGAGGAATCGATTTGGAAAGATCTCTTACTGCCCATAAGAAAACTCGTAAGCTATAAGGACAATACAGTTTAATCTTAACTACTGGAACGTAGTTAACTCCGATCCTTAACAGAAAGCAAGGAGCGCACTGATTTGGAAGGCACTAAGGTACTTTTGCTAACAGTATGCTCACGGTGTTTACAGCTTACCTTTTACAAAGAGGATCAATCTTTTGTTTCCTGCAGGGGACCTTCTTTTAAACTAACATCGGTGAACGAGCTGCTTTTATCTCTTACTACATACCATAAATTATCGCCATGGTTCAATTTTCTGTTTAGTCTTGAGAGCATAAGAATTTTTCCCACCCACAATCAGCAACAAATATCTAAGTTTGAAATGTAAATAGTATATTGATTAATTTATTTTAAATTAAAAAGTCACTTATGGACACTTTAGTTACCAGCTAAATCGTTTGCTAAAGAGAGCATTTTGAATGAGAGAAGTCAAGGCTTTCTTTCATTTGCTTTTCAGTGTGACCTACACGTTACTTGCTAAATATTCTGTTATTTATTAATCTATACATCCTGCCTACCTAAGCGTGCAAGCCCAGTTGGTTCTTATTAGGTTTCCTCGCCATTTGTTTATCTTTTTTCTACTTTACTAAATTGTTAATTAATTTTTGCAACTGACAAATGCTAGTAAATGAAATAAATAAAAAAGAATGCATTTCCTAGAGAGCATAAGAATTTTTTTTACCCGATCAGCAGCTAGGTTTCTGAAGTAATTTAGACATCTTGCAAAGCATGAAATGTTTGTTTGGCTAAACATAGAAACTGAAAGAACTATGAGCACACACACATTTTCCACCAATTTATAACATTACGGTCATCACGGCAGAAACACAGGTTTTGCCAATAACTCTGTCTATAATCACAATGTTCGCTATAAAATCCCTTTTGCTCAACAGTATTCCTTAATTAAAGTGCACCTTACACCAAAACCTTTTTTTCGCTAAAATAATAAAGCTTATTTTGTGGAGTAGTTTGCCACAAAAAATTTTCGATTTGGTTAAATCCTCCAATTTCTATGCCCCTTCGAAACCGAGTTTCGAATAGTTCGCGACTGCGCATGGGGAATCTGGGGAGAGTTAAAGCTGTCACGTCAAATCCAGAACGAATGCTTCGGCTGTCCCAGTTAGGTCTTTTACTTTGTCCGAGTGTAGAAGCCTTTTTGCAGTACAAGTCCTTTCGCTGGGACTCCGCAGTCGACCGATTTCTGTTTTTACTAACAACGTCTTCTAGTTCGTCTGATTCTGAAATGAGCATTGATTCAGGAAACTCTGAAATTTATTATATCGCTGAAGAGAATGACCGCTCACGCTTATCAACATCGCAAACTGAATAGTCAAACGGTGACGACCGAGCTGATCTGTATGCCGACTACTCTCTGGCCAATGGAGAATGGACAGCCAAATACCAGGAGGTGGATGCTGACAAAGAACTCGAACGAGCTCTGATGGACAGACTCGAAGGCAATGATATGTAGAAGTCGAGTGATACTAGTAAGACTGTATCGCGTGGCGCGTCTTTACTATCTTCGCGCCTTCTTCGATCTCGAACTAATATACTTTCGTAATAACAGTC